CATCCCTGCTCCCTGACAGCCATGGTTTGGCTGCTGGAAGCCATCCCTGCTCCCTGCCCTGCCCTGCCTCCCTCCTTCCCCTCTCTGTTCTATCCCCAGTCTTTCCAGGGCTGCTGTTTGGCTGTTTTGTGGTTCTCAGAATGATAAAATCTGGGAAATGGGCAGAATAAATTCCCAGGAATGCAGCTCTGGAGCCTCCTCCCTGCAGGAGGAGTTGGATGCTCTGCTGGACATGAAGGGGCTGGATGGGCTCAGACTGAGGGGGGCTTTGGGACACATTTTGGAGCAGGATCAGCTCCAAGCTCCCTTAGCCCACATTTGCCCCAAGTCAGGTGGATAAACAGAGGAAGCAACACACCCACCTTCTCCCTGGGACTGGGTTAGAGTCCAGTTCAGCTAAGCTTAGCCTAAAACCCACCAGCAGCTGCTTTTAAATCTGTTTTAAATTGATGCTGATTTTTGGTCCCTCTCAGCCTCTTTTAATGCAGCTGCAGTGATTGATTTGCTAATTTAGTAGGGGTTTTCCTAAGGGAATGACTTCCTATGACATTACTGCTGATGTAACACATCCAGAATCCTCTAAGTGCCATCTAGAATTAAGGAACAATTAAGGGACTATCAGCAAAATAGTTCCTCACTGGGATTGCCAACAGGGAAGGAATAAACCCAGTCTGTTTCCTATTAAAATGTGTCATTTGGCACAAAATCTGTGCCTGTTCTTATCTCCTAATCCCTCCATATCAGCCCTTCAGCAACCTGGAATTGTTTTGGCCATCCCAGCACTGGGCTCTGTGGTTTTCTTGCAGTTCTCTCACATAAAATGGGTATTTTTAAATGAACACAAATACCTCTGAGGAGATCTCACCCGAATGATATTTATCAGATAATATCTTGAATTAATTTATTGACATAAAAAAAATTGCTGGTTCTTCCACATCTTTCACCTCAGACCTTGTAGTTACCAGACAGTTCGTTTCTAGGGCTGCCTAAAAATGTGATAATATAGTAATAAAATTAATTTAGTTCAAATTCCTGAGTTTATTCTTTTAATTCCAAATAATATTGCCTTTGCTTGAGGACGTTGCTCCTTTCAGTCACTATGGGTACATATGTGTGTATAGGATATCATAAAATAGAAATACAAGGTTTAAATATATTTTAATATTTAATATTTATTCTATTTATATATCATATAAAGATATATAATTATATATAACAACACAGAATATATTAATATATATTATTAAGAAATTATTAAGGACAAATATTAATAAATATTATACTGAATATCCTCTAATGTTTATTATTTAATATATTTTTATATCAAAATATGTATTTTGATATGAAATATATTTCAATATCTATAAAAAAGAAACATAGAGAGACAAAAAAATACAGATACATGTGAGATACTGTGTTCTCTGTGCAGAAAAAAATGCAGCCAGACTGAGATCAGTTCTAACTACAGGTTAAGCTAAAAGCAAATTCCCTGTATTCCTTGGGAATGGGGCTTAACTGTTGGCACAGAACTTAAGAAACCCACGATTTTTAATTTGTAGATGCTTAAAATGCACTTTATTGCCAACAGTTCTGTGTCCTGAAATGTCTTTTCCTGCCTGTGGGTCGTGGAGTCAGTGCCTGTGGTGGGAGCAGCTGCTGCCAAGAACAGAATTCCATTGATCCCACGGCAGAAGGGCTGGAAGGTGTCCTGGGAATCAGCAGTTGGGGTCTCACTGCTCAGTACAGGGGGTGTTCCGTGTGTGGGTGGTCAGTGAGTGAAAGAAATGAAGGATAATCACCCTTTAATGCTTCATGAGATTCCCCCTTTTCCTGCCCTTCCTCTCCCAGTCCTCTGAGTCCACCCAGCTGGAGCAGCCATGGGATCCCAACCACTCCCTCCGGATGAGGAATGATAATAAATTAATGATAAAGGTGAAAATAATTTAAAAATTCATTAATATTGATAAACGTGCAGTTCCTCTACAGCGAATTTGGGAGGGGGGAATCTTAATATTCCCCACGACAGAGGGATGAACATTCATGGAAAATCCAAGAGAGTGGTTTGTCCTGCAGGTGGAGCAGCTCAAGGAGGAGATCTGTGAATACCAGAGGAGTGAGAGGCCGGGGCAGCCCCTGCCCGAGGAGCCCGGAGCAGCCTCACTGCAGGTATTTCCAAGGGCATTTTGTTGGGCATTCCAGAAAAACAGGATCCCTCTGCATTCCAGGCCCTTCGCGGGCTGGGCTGGGAGGGTTTGCTCCCGTGGTGAGCTCAGGTTGTGGAGCTGATGGAGCTCATGACTATTTTATTTAAGAGGGACTCAAGTGGCCTTGGGGTCACTCTGAGCTCACACGGGAAACACGTGGAGCTGCTGGAGAAAGTCCAGGGAAAACATGGAGCTGCTGCCAGGGCTGGAGCCCCTCTGCTCTGGAGCCAGGCTGGGAGAGCTGGGGGGCTTCACCTGGAGGAGAGGAGGCTCCAGGGAGAGCTGAGAGCCCCTGGCAGGGCCTAAAGGGGCTCCAGAAGAGCTGGAGAGGGACTGGGGATGAGGGGTGGAGGGACAGGACACAGGGAATGGCTTCACATTGGAAAAGGGGAGATTTGGGTGGGATATTAGGAAGGGATTCTTGGCTGTGAGGGTGGGCAGGCCCTGGCACAGGTTGCCCAGAGAAGCTGTGGTTGCCCCATCCCTGGAAGTGTCCAAGGCCAGGTTGGATGGGGCTTGGAGCAACCTGGGCTAGTGGAAGGTGTCCCATGGCAGGGGATGGAACTGGATGGGGTTTAAGGTCCCTCCAACCCAAACCACTCTGGGGTTTCCTGATTTCAATCTTAATTTTCTGCTAACTTTGGATTTCCTGCAGGGCACTCGGGATGAAGGGAGGGCTGAAGATGAGCATGGGGCAGGAAGAGCCTGGTCCTCCTTGGATCAGGAGGATAGAGATCAGGGGGGTGAAACTCTCCATAAAAGGTGAGAGGGGCAGGAATCCTTCCCCTGTTTTACTTTCAGGGGTTCCTGGGGCTGTGGATGCTGCTGCTCTGTCTTGGAGGGGGGTTGAATTGTTGCATCCTTTGGAATATTCTTTGGGACTTTGTTCCTCTGCCCCCAGGTGGGAGATTTTGGTGCAGTCCTGAAGGTTCTGGAGCCCCCTGGTTGTTTTCTGGCACTTCCTCCACTTTGCTGCTTTCCTAAAAGAACAGAGTTGGGCCTCTGGGGCTCTGTGCACACAAAACTGTTGTTTCCAGACCTGTTTTGGTGCTGGGAAGTTTTCCCTGGATTTGGTTGCTCTTCAGGGCTGCACTGGAACACTTGGCTTTCAACCTTCAACGTGTAAACTGGGATTTTTAAGGGAATTCAAAGCTTTGCTCTCCCCTGAGCTGCTCAGGGAGCTGCTGCACCTCTTCCCGTAGGTTCAGGGAGGAAAGGGGGCTGATCCCATCCCTGTGACTCTTTTCCCAAGCCTGTTCCCACCTCAAGCAGCTGAATTTATTGGCATCCTCATGCCTGACCCTTTTTCTCCCAGACCTTCCTTGTGTAGAGCCCATCACCCTTAATTCCCACCTGATTAAGAACAGGCACAGGCCATGCTGAATGTGAGACTGGGGATCAGCAGGACAGGAATGTTCCACAGTGAGGAGCAGCCTGGCTTTTCCTCACTGGTGGGAAGGTTGGGATGCAGTTCTGGCCTTGCTGACGTTGGTTTTGGTGTGTAGGTGCCGGGAGGCAATGGAAAACATGGAGGGCAGGAATTCCCAGCTCCTGCACAAGCTGCAGAAACTGGAGCAGGAACATGAGGATTTGGTGGAGCGCAATGAGGAGCTGGAATCAATCCTGGGAGAGACTCAGATCCAGACCAAGCAGGAGAAGGAGCAGTTTGAGAGCGAGGTGGAGGGACTGCAGCAGAAGGTGAGTGAGGAATGGGGCAGATTTCTCCCTGATTGATTAAATAAAATGATGTTTGACCTGGACCTGTACCCTCTGCATTTAGTTTGACAAGAAAAACCTGCCAGTTCAGAAAAGAGGGGAAAAGGAGGAAAGCAGGGAGTAAATGACACTTGTTTGGAAGTGCAGATTTCCCAGTGTTACAGGAGCATTGTCTTCTCCAGCTCCTGTCCCCCCTCGCAGAATCTCAGACTTGTTTGGGTTGGAAAAGACCTTAAAGATGATCCAATTCCACTCCTGCCATGATCAGGGACACCTTCCACTATCCCAAGTTGTTCCAAGCTCTGTCCAACCTGGCCTTGGACACTTCTGAGGATCCAGGGGCAGCCACAGCTTCTCTGGGCAACCTGTGCCAGGGCCTCCCCACTCTCACAGGGAGGAATTGCTTCCCAGTATTCCAACCCAAAGCTGAAGAAGTTCCAAATCCCTGCCAACCCCAGCCCATTTCCCATTTCCAAAGCAGGACATCAAAGCCCAGGAGCTTTGCTCTCCCTGACAGGCTCCAGCACATTCTGGCCCTGCTGGAGCTCCCAGCAGGGAATGATCTCTCAGACCCAGCAAAGCTGCTGCAATACTGGGATTTTAACACAAAGAAGTGACCCACTCAAGGTGTTCACAGGTATTAAAAGTGGGGGTGATTCACTCAGACCTCTCACAGAAGAGCTAAAGAGCAATAAATCCCCTCCTCTTGCATGACTACGTGAGAGTTTGGGGTTCAAGCAAGGCCTTGGTGTTATGAAAGAGATCTCAAAGGCAAAACAAGCCTCCCCTCCTCACCCCCAGCCAGCCTTTGCTCAGAACTTGATGCCCAGCAAGGCAGTTCCATCATTTTGCCCATTGTCCCTCCAAGCCACCACTGTTTGAGCCCTTCCTTTGTGCCAGCAGCAGAACAATCCTCCCCCTGTGTCCTGGGCCTGAGTCACAGCCTGGCCAGCCCAGGCTTTTGGAGCTGTGCCAACCCATGGAAATCTCCCAAGTCCTTCCCACATGGAGCAGGGCTGTCAAACCCCAGAAGTGCTGCCTTCCCTGGGCTCCAGCCCTTCCCTGCTCCCCTCCAAGGCTCCCAAGGATCCCTGGAAGTGTCCAAGGCCAGGTTGGAGCAACCTGGGCTAGTGGAAGGTGTCCCTGCCCATGGAAGTGGATGGTCTTTGAGGTCCCTCCAACCCAACCCATTCTGGGATCCCGTGGTTCTGTGAACCTGGATTTCATCTGCAGCTGGATTTCACCTCCCTCCAGTGTCCCTGCTCACCCAGGGACAGCCTGGCTTGGGCAGGTGGACAGCCCAGCTGGGGAGTTTAGAAATGAGAAAACCAGCCCAAACTTGATTTCAGTCATAGGGAAGTGAAAAGGAAGCTGCTGAGGGCCCTGCTGGCAGTGGAGCAGAGGGATTTGAGAAGAGGGTCTGCAGGAGCCATGCCAGGGAAGAGAAGCTGGGCTGCTCCTTTGGGATGTCCTTAATTGTGCTGCTCTTTTGAGCTGCTCCTTAGTTGAGCTGCTCCTTTGGGATGTCCCTTAACTGGGCTGCTCCTTTGGGATGTCCCTTAACTGGGCTGCTCCTTTGAGATGTTCCTTGGTTGGGCTGCTCCTTTGGGATGTTCCTTCTTTGGGCTGCTCCTTTGGGATGTTCCCAAGCTCCTTGAGCCTTTTGGAACTGCAGGACCCATAATCCATCCCAAAGGATCCCCCCAAGGGTAGATGTGCAGAGTGAGCACTTGTCCACACAAACTCCAGGAGGAGCTTAGGGGTCCCAAATCCCGAGTCCTTGGAGCCTTGAGGGAAGGATTGACAACCTTTGAGCAGTGGAGGGACCAGGACAAGTCTGGTCTGAATATCTGCTTGGATAAATCAGCTGTAGACACCAGATCAGTGATTATGGGGTCAGAACCACCTTTTGGGGGTGGGTAGAGGGGGAAGGGATGGGTGGAACCTCATGGAAGTGGGGTGGTGTTGTATCCCTCATGGCAGCACCTGGAACCCACATGGAGAAGCCCTGGAGCAGCTGCCAGTCACAAAGAGCTCAGGAAAACTTCACCACCCCACAGCTCCTGCAGCCCCTCACCCAGCTCAGGTGGGCAGTGAGGACACTGCCCTATAACACCCCCCAGCTCCTGGAGGGACAGTGAGGACACTGCCCTATAACACCCCCAGCCCACAGGGACAGTGAGGACACTGCCCTATAACACCCCACAGTTCCTGGAGGGACAATGAGGACACTGCCCTATAACATCCCCAGCCCACAGGGACAGTGAGGGCACTGCCCTATAACACCCCCAGCCCACAGGGACAGTGAGGACACTGCCCTATAACACCCCCAGCTCCTGGAGGGACAGTGAGGACACTGCCCTATAACACCCCCCAGCTCCTGCAGCCCCTGACCCAGCTCAGACTGGGACAGTGAGGACACCACCCCTCACCCTGGCCTAGAACCCCAGAGTGGCTGGTGGGTCAGAGACCCCCCTGGAGCAGATAAAACCAAAGACCAGAGCAGATAAAACCACAGGTATGTGTTTGCCATGTGGCCCTGCTTCTGGACATGTAAGAACTGGTCTTCCACAGGATCCCAGCTCTATAAGCTGTCTCTCCCTCTTCCCCCTCCTCTCTTCCTTCTCCCTCTGCTTCTCCTTCTTTGCTCCTTCCTTAATGCTTGATGTGGCTTGGAGCTGGAGGGATTAAATCTTGACTTAAGTGTTGTGGATTGCTTGGATCTTGACTTAAGTGTTGTGGATTAATATGTGCTGAGTTGATATTGTAGTAGAACATTTTTCCAGCTTTTTAAACCTTTGCCAAGTGCCCTTATTTTCTCCCCTAAATTAATAAAGGTACCACTTGGGAACAAGCCCGTGGCTTATTCTCTTAATGCCATCTCAAGGTATTAAAGAACCCTATATATTAAATATATATATATATAATATTATACATAAATATATTTTAAATAAAACTCCTGGCTGAGCCTGTGAACCCACAGCTCCAGAGCTGGAGTGTCACAGGGCACTGCCACAGCCCTGGGAAGGAGGGTGACCTCCTTCCAAGGTGTCAGGAGAGCACCACAACCTGTGAGCACTTTGAATTTGCACCAGGAGCCTGGGTTGTTTCTCTCCTTTTGTGGGGCAATTCCTTCTCTTTCTGACTTGGCCTTGGGTGGCTCCTTCCCCCTTGGAAGCAGCAGGATGAGAGCTGAGAGCTGATGCCTGTGCACAGCCCCTCCTGCTCCTTCCTTCCAAACGTGGGGCTGATCCTGGAAGGGCAGCACAAGGAGCAGTTTAGCAGGAATTCTGCATTTAATTGTGAGTCCTGGCTTGGTTTTAACTCGTGGTTTGTCCGTGTTCAGATCACCAGTTTGGAAACAGAGTTGCTTGAGGTGCAGAAGAACAGAAGTGAGATGGACAGGAAGGAGCAGGTGGCATCTGGAGCACAGGAGATGCAGGAGGTGAGAGCTTTCCCTTGGGAAACCAACTGCTTTGTTTAGGGATGTCTTAGGGAACATCTTAAATGAGCATCTCAAGCAACTCTCTCCTGGGGATGCTCCTTATCAGCATCTCCTGGGAATTTGGAGTCCCTCAGCTCCTGGAGACAGAGGGATGTTTTTGGAGGAAAGGAGCCAACGTGCCCAAGTGATCTTCATGAAAAGTCACCTCCCTCAGGAGCTGGTCTGGCCTTCAGCTCTGCAAGCTGAGGGGTTTGTTGTGAGGGTGAAGGTGTTACCTGTGTGAAGGTTCTCAGTTCTTGTTTAGGGTTCAGTGAAACCAAGGGGTCTGTAGGTACATTTAAAGCTGCTTCCCAGCAGGTCCATTTGTTCCCAACGACTGGATCTTCCTGATGTTTCAGCTAGACAGAGCTGCTTACAGGTGGGAAAGGACCTTCCCAAGGGATCTTGGTCAGTAGAGGCTCCAGGCCTTTGGAGAGGTCCTGCCAGCCCTGGGAATGAGATGCAGGAATCCCCCTGGAAATTTTTGAGAGCCTTTTTTCTCCTTTCTGTGTTTCCTAGAAGACACATTTCCTGCAATTTGTTTTTCTTTGGGTAGAATAAAGGATGCTGGAGAAGAGACTCCTAATGTTTCTTATTCTAGATGTTGGAAAGCTGTCAGGAAACCATAGACAAGTTGGGAAATCATCTGGGAGAGCAGAGGGAGAGGAGGAGGCAACTTATATCTGAGCTTGAGCTGCTGAGAGAGGATCTGAAGGCTGAGAAGGGGGTCCTGGGCAGCCAGGTATGTGGGACTCCCTGAACAAGCCAGTTCCCTTTGGATGCTCCATAAAATCCAGCAGTTCCCCCTCAAGCATGTGATTTGACTTGGTGCTTCTCTCCAGTTTGAAACCTTTGGCAGAGGGTTTTCAATCCATCTGTTTTCATGGTGCTGTCTCTAACTCCATCATTTGTTTTTCTCTTCAGTGGATCTAATCCCAAACCAGTAATTCCAACTTTGCAGCCAAACCCTAAATTCTCTGGGGGGCAGAGTGGGAATTTTCAGACTCAGGTGTTTATTGCAGGAGTCAGAACAGCCCAGAGCCACAGGAGGTGACATGAACATCCTGCTGGGATCCCTCCTGGGATGTTCCCCAGGGACCTCAGCACATTTTGCTTGAGCCAGTTTAATTGCTAAATCCACTCCTGGGGGATTCTCCCTGCTGGGAATGTTGCTGGAGCTCTTGGCTTCCAGCTGGGCCACAGAGGAGAGACAGTTTGTGGTGCCAGCAAAACTGCCCAAGGGCTGGACAAGGGCTGGAAATTAGGCTAAAAATCCAGAAGAGCTGCAGATCCACAGCCTGGATCAGGCAGACCTGAGGGAAAGTGGAAAAGGGGGGGGGGGCATCTGGGATAAATCCCACATTTTAGCTCTGAGAGGCCTTAAATCAGCTCTGAGTCCAGTCACCTCCTTGAATGCAAGTAAAAAACCATGGAATTCCTGAGCTGTTGGCACAACTCCAGAGACACAGGAGTTGCTGGAGGAACAGTGGCATCTACAGGCCAGGGCTTTGTCCTGCTGCAACAACTCCACACTGCAAGCTGGGGTGGAAACCAGGCCTGCAGAGCTGTGGATACAAACCAGTGCTGGTGGGAGAGGGGGAGGAAAGGGCTGGAAAGGAATTGTGTGATGTGGGGGATGCTGGGGGAAATGGGAAGAGTCCTTTTTAAACCCTTGCATCCCAATAGTTCAACCTACTCATGGACCATTGGATCAAAATCACCCATCCCTGGAAATCTGATTGGAATTCAACCACCAGCTGCTGGTGGCTTTGCCAAAGGAGGGACTGTTTTTACTGTTTTTCCACCCAAGGGATCATGGGGTGAGATGATCCCATGATCCCCTGTGTTAGACTGGAACAACCTGTAGCACAGAGACCCTTTTGGGTGGCATTTCTGGCTTCCCACATGGGCTCCTTCCCTTTGGATGGAGCAGCTGGATTGGGATGAATTGTTTCCCAACAGTGCTGGAAATGAGCTTGGCATGAAATCATTGGGTTCTCTCAGCTGGAATTGTCTTGTTTTCACGAGGTTTTTGGACATTTGAGAGGAGGAAACTTTTCCTGAGCTTGTCCTTCGGGGGGTGTTTCATCCACTGACTCCTGCTCTTTCCTCTCCAGGGGTTTCCTGACTCCCAGTTGGAGCTTCCAGGCCACAGTAACACCTCCCCTGGTCTCCAGAGAGCATCAGCCAGCAGGGATCTCGTGGATGTGTCCCATGAGAAGCACAAGGACAGTGCTTTGTTAGACCCAGAGGTGAGGCATGGAAGGAAATCCTGGTTGCCCCAGGGCCTGGAGCAGGCAGGAGCTGCTGGGGCTCAGATCTGAGTGGACTCATCCTGGTGGAGATAAGACCACCTGAAATCAAACTTCCAGTGCTCAGGAAGAGCTACTGGTGAAAAACCTGTAGGAATCAATGTTTTTGCTGGTGTTTAGTGGGGAGAACAGTGTCTGAAGGGTTTGGGTTCACCACTGGAGATATTAGTCCAGGCAGGTTCAGGTTCTGATCCAACCTGGTAATTCCTGTATCCTGACACATTCCTGCTCTTTTGCCCCTTTTGTTTTCTTTTTATTCATCCTGGTGAAGATAAGACCACCTAGAATTGAACTTCCAGTGCTCAGGAAGAGCTATTGGTTAAAAATGTTTAGGAATCAATGTTATTGCTGGTGTTTAGTGGGGAAAACAGTGATTGTGTGGGAAGGATTCGGGTTCACCACTGGAGATGTTAGTCCAGGCAGGTTCAGGTTCTGATCCAGCCTGGGAATTCCTGTATCCTGACACATTCCTGCTTTCCTGCCCCTTCTATTTTCTTGTTGTCTTCTCTTCCAGTCTCAGGTTTGGGGGCAGTTTTGTCTGGTGTTCCAGCGTGGGGTGACGTTGGGGGTGGAGAGCAGCCACCCCTGGAGAGGATTCTGGGTAGTCTGGGCAGGGGATCTCTCTGGGATCCAGCTGAATCCACACCTTTCCCAAGAGCTGCTGGTTTTGTCAAGAGATTTGGCACATGCTGTAAAACCCTGGGAGCTGCAGATGGGCCACAGTGGGATGAACTCAAATAAAGAACCATGACTTGGTGGTGGTTCACACACAGCTACTGCCCCTGCAGGAGGAAGGACTCCAAGAACTGGGATAATTTAACCACAGAATCACAAGCTGTGTCTTGCTGGAGCCCCCAGACTGCCTTGCACTGGCTCAAAAGATTTCCATCAGAGCAAAGGAAATCCAAGTCCTGGTGTTTTCTGACCTTACAGGCCTCTGAAATCCTACAAGATGAACAGAGTCACAGAGAGGAGCAGACACAGGAAGATGGAGATGCAAAGACCTATGAGGAACAGATGGCTAAAGTTGTGTTTTTGGAAGAACAGATCAAAAGCCTGAGGGAGGAACAAGAGCTGCTCTGGTAAACCTTCCCAAGGCCTGTGGTATTTTCTGCTCCTTGTCTTTGCTGACTTAAAATTTCTGAGTCTTTTCTGACTCCCTGTCCTGGAGAGAACAGGCCCAGCAGCTTGGTGTCCTTATGGGATCAGTGTCTGATTTTGGGGAACTCCCTCAATGACATGAGGAGCAGCCAGGAGCAAACCTTTCTTCTGCAGCTGTTACAAGTTCTGAGCAGACTAAATGAGAGCTGTCCTTAGGGAAGAGGATTTATCCCTTGGAGTTGGGTGGTGTTTGGACTAAGAGGGTCCAGATACTTGGACTTAGCCCAAATATTTGGATGAAGGGGGTCCCAAAAAAGCTCCAATCATGGGTTTGGGCTCCTGGCACCACTGCCAGCAGTGGTGGTCCTCATACTGCTGTGGATTTTGGGAGTCCCTGGAATTCAGGTGTCCTTGGAGAGTAGGTGTCACCAGGTATTGATCTGACTCCCCTTTTTGAGTAGTAAGGAAAAGCTTGGATTAGATCCAGGGTGGTTCCAGTCAGTGAGATCAGCGAGTCCAACCATTCCCCAGCACTGACAGGGCCACCACTAGCCCAGGTCCCCAAGGGCCACATCCACACAGTCACTGAACACTCCCAGGGATGGTGATTCCAGCACTGATTCCAGCCTGTGCCAGTGCCTGAACATGTAGGCTATGGAATCATGGAATGGTTTGGGTTGGAAGGGACATTAAAGCTCATCTCATTCCACCCCCATTCATGGGCAGGGACACCTTCCATTATCCCAGGTTGCTCCAAGCCCCATCCAACCTGACCTTGGACACTTCCAAGGATGGGAAATCCATAAGTTCTCTGGGAAACCCACTTCAGTCTCACACTACCCTCACAGGGAAGAATCTATCCATAATATCCCATCTAAACCGGCACAGGGAATCCTGGAATGGTTTGGGATGGAAGGGACCTTTAAGATCACCCAGACCTTGGGCAGAGACATTTCCACTATCCCAGGCTGCTCCAAGACCTGTCCAACTTGGCCTTGGACACTTCCAGGGATGGGGCAGCCCCCACTTTGAGTTTGGATGGAGATAGTGGAGACAGTTTGGATGAAGGTGAGTCAGACAGGGATCTGAGCCCCTCCTTTCAGTGCTTCCCTGTGTCTTTGGAGCACGGAGCAGCTCCCACCCCATGCAGGGTTCCCTTGGCCAGTCTGTGACCTCCTCCCAGGGAGGGCTGAGCCTCTGGACACACATGGTTTTGTGGGACAGTGTCCCAAGGAGACTGACCTTTGCCCAGAACTGCTGCACACAGGAGTAAATCCCCTTTGGAGCCTCCCGAGGTACTTGAGCCTTCGCTGGACTCTCACATCCCAAGTTTTTCCCTTTTATGGGTGTTTTCCCTGGGATGTGTGTAGTCATCTCTCTCCTTTACTATTTCCCCTTCAAGCTCTGAATTACTAGAGAGCAACAAGAAGAAGGAAGAGCTGGAAAAGCAGCTCAAAGAGAGCAATGAAGAGAAAAGGATGTTGCTGGAAGAGATTTCCCAGCTCAAGCACAACATCCGGAGCGCCCGGGAACAGGGAGACGCCGGAGAGACCTGGAGGATGAGCCCAGGCTTGGAGCAAAGGGAGAGCAGGTTCCTGCCATGGCAGAGCTCAGCAGGCAGTTTAGATGGGAGCCTTAAACAGGTATGGGCAGCTTTGCCATCTGCACCCTGATTTTGGTCACTAACTGGGTGGGAAAACCTAATTAAAGTGGGCTGGAAGGCAGTCCAACCCTTGGAAATTAGGGATGGCTTCGTTTCCTTGTGTGGTGCTTTGCATGTGGTGGGAACTTGGATAAAGTCAGTGCCCATGGCAGAAATAAGGGATTTAAATGGTATTTGTTCCCCTTTCTTACCTTGTGAGCTGGAAGAGAAGGGCAGGAGCAGGAATCCCTGCCAGGAGGGGTGGGAATGGTGGGGGAACCCAGGGTGGGGAGGCTGAGGAGGAAAAGGATTCTGTGCGAGGGTTTGGATGGGAAGAGAGGACTGGGTGACCTGTGGGCAGGAGTGGGAGTGCAAAGGAGAGGACTGGAGTTGTGCTGGATCCAAGAAGCAGCAAATCCCTACAGGTGGAGCAGAGCAGGACACAAGGGAATGCTGGAAAGGATCCTGATAGAAGTAGATGAGGGGGAAAAAACCCACAAAACTTCGTGGCTCTCGAGGACAACTGCCACTGCCAGACCCCACAGTGCTGGATCAAGACCTTTCCCAGCTTGGGGAGTTATCTGGGGATGTATTTAAGAAGGGAAGCTTGGCCTTCAGTGGATTCCCTCTAGTGCCAAGAGCAGAGGGAGAGGATGCACAGCGGGAATTCAGATCCAGATGTGGCTGGAAGCGATGCTGGGAAGAAGGGCTTTGGTACAACCCAAGCAGAGCTTTTGGTCTGTGTGCCAGGCTCTTGCAGGAAGGTGGGTGGTCCAGGGAGCTCCAAAAGCCACCCCAGACCGTCAGTGACACCTCAGGGTGTCGGGGCTGTCACAGTGTGTTCCTGCACCACTGCCAGGAGTCCCCGTGTTCCTGTTCCCTCTTGGAGCTGGGCTGGATGTGCTGCTCCTACTTGGTTGCCTCAGCTGGATTCTGACACAAGAGTTCAGAGTAACCTGGTGGCTTTCTTTGGTCGGAAAGGGTCATTTTATCAGGTGTTTGTTCCCTCATCCGGGTTTTCACATGTTCTCCCTCGACCTCAGGAGTCATGTTGGCTTCTCTGAGGGGAGGGACAGAACAGTGGAATCACTGAGATCATAACCCAGCACTGCCATGTTCACCACAAACCACATCCCAAGTGCCACATCCACATGGCTTCTAAACCTTTCCAAGGCCACTGTGTGGGGGCAGAGCAATGCCAGGCTTTGCCCATCTTCCTGCTTAAATACCTTCCTTGCTAACAGCCTTTATCCTTCCCTGGAGCTGGTGTCCCTGTGACCCGTGGTGCTGTGCTGTTCCCTCAGGCTCTGTCTGAGGAGAGGTCCCAGCAGCAGGAGGAGAAGCTGCAGCAGCTGCGCCAGGACCTGCGGCGGGTGCAGAACTTGTGCAGCTCCGCCGAGAGGGAGCTGAGGTACGAGAGGGAGAAGAACGCAGAGCTCCAGAAACAGAACCTGCTGCTCCAGCAGGAGTGCACCAAGGTGGGAACAGCTCTCAGCTCTGTGGGAATTACGGCCCCTCTGCTGTGGAAACAGGCTGGGAGAGCTGGGGGTTTAACCCAGAGAAGGCTCCAGGGAGAGCTGAGAGCCCCTTCCAGGGCCTAAAGGGGCTCCAGGAGAGCTGGAGAGGGACTGGGGACAAGGGGTGGAGGACAAGGGGAATGGCTTCCCAGTGCCAGAGGGGGGGTTAGATGGGATACTGGGAAGGAATTCCTCCCTGTGAGGGTGGGCAGGCCCTGGCACAGGTTGCCCAGAGAAGCTGTGGCTGCCCCATCCCTGGGAGTGTCCAAGGCCAGGCTGGATGGGGCTTGGAGTAACCTGGGCTAGTGGAAGGTGTCCCTGCCCATGGAATGAGGTTGAGCTTTAAGGTCTATTCCAACCGAAACCCCTCTGGAATTCCATGAGAAATTTCCCTGCCTCCAAATAAAACCTGCTGCACTTCCTCCCTGATCCCTCTTTTGCTCCCAGTCCCCTTTCCTACCCAAGCCATTCCAGCTGATCTTTGCTGAAGTACAAACTCCATTTCTTCTTTGCAAACTCAGGTCAAAGCTGAGCTGAAACAGGCCCGGGCCAAACTCTCAGACTCCACAGAAACCTGCTCATCCCTGTCAGCACAGTGGGAGAGGAGCCAGCAGAAGGTCAGGGAGCTGGAGCAGAAGCTCTCCAAGTGCTCCCAGGCTGACAAGCTCCACAGCAGCCTGAGGGACAGGCTGGCCCAGGAAAAATCCAGGGCAGGAGAAGCCCAGAAAAAGGTGAATGTGAGCTGGGGAACAGGAGGGGTGTGTTTGGCAGGAGCAGCTCAGGAATTGGTTCCCCAAAGTCCATTTTGGGATCACTCAGATAAATATTGTAGACAGAAAGTTGGTTGTTAGTGAGAAGGGAACAGAAGCTGAGTGTGATGGCTCAGTATCTGAAATGCTGGGACTGGGACTGGCAGGCACAGGGAGCCTCAATCCTGTTCTTGCCAAGCAGATTTCCTGCTGTTTGCTGGCTGGAAATTTCCAAACCCTTGTGTTTCCCATGGCACTGATTCTGCTGTGCTCCTGCAGGAATCTCTGGAGTCAGTTTTGAAGTTTACAGGATCAAATTGGATCCCAAAAGAATTGTTGCCAATTCTCTGATCCAAGATCCAAAATCTCCTTGGCCATTCCAGAAGTTTTGCTTTCCATGGACTTTGACTCAAAACAAGGAAAGCTTCCATTCCCAAGTCCCAGACACGGAGGGATCAAAGCGACCTGGTGCAGACACTGGTTTAATCATTCAGAAATTTAGTCCATGTCCGTTTTCCTCCAAGATTTCCAAGCTCCAGCAGAAGCTGAAGGATTCCCATCACCAGCTCCTGCTGGCAGAGGCCCGTGTTTCTGACAAGAAGCTGCTGGAGGAGGAGCTGAAGGAGGCCCGGGAGAACGAAGCTCGAGTGCAGCGGGAGCTCCACGAGGGGCAGCTGAAGAGGTACTTGAACTGTCCTGCCAGTCCATGGGAGCTGCAGCTCCTGGGGGGATGAGGGAATCCCAAACCACTGGCTTGACCTCCCCTTTGGATCTGCCACATCCCTGGCAGAGCTCCAGGGATTCCCTCTTGGAGATTTAAAAAATTGTTGGAGACTTCAGCTGCCTCGGAAGGCCCTTGGCCTCTCCTGCCAGTGCAGGGATACCAACAGCCCCCCTGATGATCCCAGTGCATTATCCACTCTTTTTCATGTCATTGGGACATGGCATCACAACCCAGAAGGGGAGATCAACCCAGATTCTGGTTAATAAATCCCTTGGGGTGGATTAGAGCGAAAGGACGCTGAATAATCAGTGTTTTTAAACATAAAATATATATGTAGGGTTTATTTTGTTTCAAAGGTAAACAGGTGTATTGCTGTTATTTTCTATAGTAATACAGCAATATTAAAGCATCTATAGCAACCTTAAAGCATAAAAATAACACTTAAGGAAATGCATAAGGCAAGGAAGAGAAAGAAAGGATAAAGGTGGAAAGCTGTTTGTAGTCACTGCCTGCTGGATCCAGAGATGAAACTTGGGAGTTGCAGCTTCCATGTCTGTTGGTCTGTTGGTTGGGAACCCCCCCCCCAAAAGTCAAAGATTTCATGAGTAATTATACTCTTCCAGCTCAGGTGGGAATGCCTTGCACTTCCTCAGGGAGTTTTGCCATGGATCCTGGGGAGTTTTACCATGGATCATGGGCAGTTTTCCCATGGATCCTGGGGAGTTTTCCCATGGATCCTGGGGAGTTTTCCCATGGATCCTGGGCAGTTTTACCATGGATCCTGGGCAGTTTTACCATGGATCATGTCAGTGGACGTGTCACAAATTTTCGATGCTCCCCAGAGGGGTTTTCACAGCAGAGTAATCATGTGAGGGAGGACACTGGCGTGATGAGAATGATTATTATCCCACCTTGCAGGATTTGCCTCTTCTTAGCCTCTTCCCAAATCCAGTTTGTAGCTCCAGGGATAGCTGGACATTGGCACCCCCTTAACTGCTCTGAAGGTCCTTCCCCAGTAGGATATTCAGGGAGGGGTGGGCTTTGCTGGGTGAGCAGCTGCTTCTCTTCAGTTTGCAGAAGTCCTTTGGTGACCTTACAATGTGTGAGCCATTAACTATTTCAGTGGGATTTTGGTGGGGACACCAGGACGTGCTGATCCCTTTCTCCCCCTGTACTGATTCCTCTCTCCCTCCCCGTGACCCAGGGCAGGGGGAGGTTTTTAGGGGACACCCAGCCTTGGGGGCACATGGTGGTGACACCTCCACCTCAGGGTCTCACTGTCACACTCCCATGTTCCCAGGAAGCTCCTGGAGCAGCAGGTGGAGGAACTGAGGCAGCAGCTCCGGCATTCCCGGGAGACGGAGGCGTCACTGGCCAAGATGCACGTGGAGCTCCAGGCCAAGACTCTGCATGCCCTGGAGGATGAGAGGAAGCTCGACCCTGGAGAGGTGAGGGGCTGTGGGGGGGGGGTTCCTTGTCATCCTGGGGGTAACAGGAACATTCCAGGGGGTAAATGTACACCTGGGAGCTGCTGGAACAGGGGCTGAGCCCTTGCAGATCCCACTGATTTAACAGGAAAAGTTCAGTAAACACATGGAGCTGGGATTGATGGAGGGGCTTCAGCTCCTTTTGTGTTCAGGTTCCTCACAAGGGGCAGCTGTCTCTGCTCTGGTGAGCAGGGACAGGATCCAGGGAACGGCTGGAGCTGTGCCAGGGCAGGGTCAGGTTGGATCTCAGGACAAGGTCCTTCCCCCAGAGGGTGGTTGACAACACTCTCAGGGACAGGATGGGATTGTTGGAGTTGTCCAGGATCTGGACTGGATGATCCCTGGGGGTCCCTTCCAGCTCAGGACATTCCATGATTTCATCTCATGTAGGTTTCCTGGGATGAAGCTCTGAGGGCACAGGAAGACTTTATGGTTTCTTCCTTCCCTTTTTGTTGCAGAGAGTGGAGTTTTTTCAGGGAAATATGGGCAGAGTCCATTGTCTGGGAGGGTTCATTGCCTCCCTCTGCTCTGAAATTCCCAGGGTCCCTCATTAGGGGGAGGAGGCCTGGAGGGCAGAATGGATGGATGGATGGATGTGTGGGTGGATGGATGGGTGGATGGATGGGTGGGTGGGTAGATGGATGTGAGAGTGGATGGATGGGTGGGTGGATGGCTGGCTGGCTGGGTGGGTGGATGGATGGTTGGATGGATAAATGGATGTGAGAGTGGATGAATGAATGGATGGATGGATGGATGGATGGATGTGTGAGTGGATGGATGGATGGATGGGTGGCTGGCTGGCTGGCTGGGTGGATGGATGGATGGATGTGTGAGTGGATGGATGGAGGGATGGATGGATGGTGGATGGATGGATGGATGGATGGATGGGTGGGTGGGTGGATGGATGGATAAATGGATGTGAGAGTGGATGGATGGATGGATGGATGGATGGGTATTATCTGTAATGGGAACCACTGGGATTGAGGAGAGAGAAGCTTTTCAGCCCAGGCTGCAGAGGGGAAGGCAGCAGAGGGGCTCCTGCAGCCACACACAATAAAGCAGAGCTGTTTTGCAGCACCTGCAGTGCCAGAAGGAGAACCAGAAGCTCTCGGAGCAGCTGTCCCTGCTGAAGGAGGAGAACAAGGCCCTGTATGAGGAGGGTGTTCGGCTCCTGAACCAGAAGGATCTCTATGTGAGGTGATGGCACAAAATCCTCCCCAGGAATTGCTCTTCCTGTGCCTGGCAGTGGATTTGGCTGTTGTGTGGCCTTTCCTGTCTTCTGTTCAGGGATTTGGCACCGGGAGATCCCCCTGAATCCATCCCCCCAGTGTGCTGTGATGTCCCACACCACGTGTCTGATGTCGTGGAATTCCGTGTGGGTTTGGGTGGGAACAGACCTTA